GCTGCCAAACCAAAAAGAGGCTTTAACATGCCTGAGCCCTGCCACTACTGGGCAAGAGCTCCGAGGCTTCTTGGCCATGGCTGGTTTCTGTCAGATCTGGATTCCTTACTGTGGACTCACAGGAAATCCCTTTATGAAGCTCTAAAAGGGCTAGGCTGGGAGGCACTAGAATGGACAAAAGAGTGTCAGGTGGCCTTCAATACCATCAGGACAAAGTTAATTTCAGTCCCAGCCTTGGGGCTTCCTAACTTGGACAAACCTTTCAGCCCATATGTACATGAACGGCAGGAAATAAGCTTGGGGGTTTTAACTCAAAACTGGGAATGACCCCCTAGCCAGAGGCTTATTTTTCGAAGCAACTGGATCAGACTGTCAAGGGCTGGCCCCCCTGCATCAGGACAATGGCTACTACCTGCAACATCCCGCAGAAAGCTAAAAACATACCCTGGGCCAACCCACCACAGTGTATGTGTCACATCAAGTACTCACATTATTAGAACAAAAAGGAGATATTGGCTTACATCAGGTAGGATGGGCAAATACCAGGCCATCCTTTTGGACAATCCAAATGCACAGATGCAAGTATCATCCTCCCTAAACCCAGCCACCTTGCTCCCTAAAAGACATCAGAAGCCTTAGAACATGACTGCTTACAAGTTATTGAGAGTGTATTCTAGCTGAACTGATTTGTTGAACTGTCTGTTGGAAGAACCAGACTTGGAACTCTTCATAGACGGCAGCAGCTTCATGGATCAAGGTAAGGGAGGAGCAGGATACGTGGTCATAACTTTACAAGAGACTTTAGAGGCTAAAGCCCTACTCCCAGGGACATCTGCTCAAAGGCAGAAATCATTGCCCTCACTGGGGCTTTACATCTAGCTCAAGGCAAGAGAGTAAACATATAGAGATTCCCGTTATGCCTTTGCCGTAGTTCATGCTCATGGAACAATCTGGAAAGAAAGGGGACTGTTAATAGCAGGAAAAACGGAAATCAGACATGGCCCTAAAATCTTAAAACTGCTTGGTGCTATTTTTTACCCATCCTCTTTTTTTTTAATGTATGCTTTTTTTTGATGAGGAAGATTGGCCCTGAGCTAACATCTGTTGCCAATCTTCCTCATTTTGTTTTTTCTCTCCAAAGCCCCAGTACATAATTGTATATCCTAGTTGTAGGTCATTCTAGTTCTTCTACGTGGGATGCCGCCAAAGCATGGCCTGATAAGTGGTGTGTAGGTCCATGCCCAGGATCTGAACCAATGAACCCCGGGCCGCCAAAGCAGAGCACATGAACTTAACCACTAGGCCACGGGGCAGGCTCCTGCTTGGTGCAGTTAATGAACCTGTTAAGGTAGCTATCATGCCTTGCCCTGGCCACCAGAGGGAAAATTCAGTGGGTCCAGAAGTACATCATAGGGCCCCACCTACAAAAGACTATACAACAGGTGACTACAAACTGCATGATCTGTGCAAAGAACAACCCCAAGACTGCTTCTGGTCTCACACATGTGGGCATCCAACCTAAAAAAACTGGCATACTGAAGACTGGCAAACAGACTTCACCCAGATGCCCTGGGCAGCTGGGAATTTTCAGTTTTTGTTAGTGTTTGTGAGCACCTTCAGTGAGTGGGTAGAAGCCTTTCCCACTGGGACTGAGAAAGCACCAGAAGTCACTTGCATGTTGCCACAAGAAATCATCCCTAGGTTTGGTCTGCCTAAAACCTTACAGAATGATAACAGATCACCTTTTGTCTTCCAAATAACCCAACAAGTGTTCCAAAGCTTAAACATCTGATGGATACTACACTCAGCTTGGGGACCTCAATCAACTGGAAAGATGGAGAAAACAAACCACACCTTAAAGAAGACCACTGCCAAAATCTGTCAGGAAACACGACTAAGTTGTGATAAGGCGCTGCCCCTTACCCTGCTATGGGTTACAGCAGCTCCCCGAAGAGGACTTAAATTGAGTCCTTTCGAAATTCTATATAAGAGACCCTTTCAAGCATCGTCCCATGGGACTGAATCTCTGGACGTTTTAAGGAATGTCATGATTGCTAATTATGTTAAGTCATTAAGTTCTATATTAACTTCCGTCATTGAGTTTGCTTCTCATAGGCTTACATATCCATCTGACATCCCTCTACACGCCGTCCTACCTGGTGATCACACTTTGCTAAAAACTCGGAGAGACCAGGGACCTAAAAAGCAGTTGTCACCCAAACGGATGGGCCCTTTTGAGATTCTTTTCACCACTCACTCATCCACAAAACTTACAGGTGTGAGATCCTGCATACATTACTACCAGACCAAGGCAACCCCAAAAATCACAGTAAAGAATCCCACCTGTATGGAGGGGAAAGTGCATGACAGAACCCCCTGGAGAGCTAAAATATGTCTTTAAAAGAAAACTTTTACTTCTTCTATCTAACTCTTCTTCTAACAGTTCTGTTTATTGGGTTATTAATCTTTCTCCTTCTTAAGTTGGGTATTAAATGCCTATCTGCCATAAGCTCCTAACTGATCAAGTCAACATGACAGCTCCCCTTAAGAGACCCCTCCGACGAATCCAAAAGGAAAGCAACTCTTTTCCATGCTCTGGTCCACCTGTGACGTCCTGACTCAGCAGCAAGTAGCTAGAGAAATTATGACTCCCTGTCTCCCCCTTGATTGTAAGATTATGGGTTACTACTCACAGGGGGGAAACTGCAAGTGAGCATAAGTGAGGCCATCTTGTTACGCTAAATGGCCCAGCCCCTCCTGTGTACTACTAGCTACTCTGCACGTACTCCAAAACACTCACATGCTCTCCTGATTTATAGCCTCCATTTACGCATGTACTCCCTGACAGCTTAATAAATTCTGTGAGTTTCTCTCCAGGAACAGGCTGATCACAAGCAGGAAACAAACCTACAAGGTATCCATCACAGCGGACAGAAGAATGGAACAATCAAAGACACTGAGGTCGGTCAGCCTGAAGGAAACTCCCTCCTCACTGCCCATTTTCCCTGTATAACTGCCTCAAGATTCTATAGTCCTTGAAGAGGTTTTTTTGAGACATTAGTCTGCCATCTTCCTGATTATGCCAGCTAATCGAATTAAAATGTCCTTTCTCGGGGCCGGGCCAGTGGCGTAGTGGTTAACTTTGAGTGCTCTGCTTCAGCAGCCTGGGGTTCACAGGTTCATATCCCAGGTGGAGACCTACACACCACTCATCAAGCCACGCTGTGGCAGCATCCCACAAAAAATGGAGGAAGACTGGCACAGATCTTAGCTCAGCAATAACCTTCCTCAAGCAAAAAGAGGAGGATTGCCAACAGACGTTAGCTCAGGGCCAATCTTCCTCACCAACCAACAAAACAAAACTTCCTTTCTTGACCCCTAACTCCCTGAGATTAATTGGCTCAGATTGCGGCGAGCAGAGTGAGCCCACTGCTGGGTATCAGGAGCCTCCATATTGATCATCCTTCTTCCTCTCACAAGCCCACACTCTTGATTGCCACTCTGAAGTCAGATGAACCCAGTTAACACCTGGGTAACACCACTTCCCTCCTGTGATCCAAACCTCTAGTTACCTCCAGAATACATAACACTGGCTCAACACAAGATTGACATAAGGGAAGCCATACTGTAGAAGAGACCATACTGTAACTTTGAATGACCTCTGACTGATTAACTTGGCTGGACACGCACCTCCAGGAGATCCACCTGCTCTGCAGATTTTATGACCCCTGCTTGTGCATGTACCGCCCAGCTGCAATAAGACAATAACTTTGTTCTTTTGAGTTCCTTAGGAATGTGATGACCCCAGAACACAGAGTCTATGCTGATAGCCATCATCAATGAAAACTGAAGGATCTGGTGTGGAGACTCCTGGGTCAACATTCCTACTCCCTCTCCTATAACCCACTGGCCTATATAACTGCTTCAAGATTCTGTGTTCCCTTATGATGGTTCTTTCAGACAACAGTCAGCCATCTTCCCTCTTGCTAGCAAGCTGTAATAAAATCCCCTCTCTCTGCCACCATCTTGTCTCACAGGGAGCAGGTCGTGCCCTTTGTGCAGTAACATACACACCCAACATAAACACCCAACCCAGTCATTCCTCTCCTGATTCCTATCCACCTATTTCTTTGCACCTGAAAGAAAGGAGACCTTTGGCTCCAGAACGTTCCTGAGCTCAGTTGTACTTTTGGGCATTTGCACATCCTGTTACCAGCTCTTAGGTTAACTTCCACAGGTGTTTACAATGGCGGCTACATGAGAGAATAGCTGCATATAACCCCAGGCATGGACTTGGGGCCATAGCTCACGGATTCTTCAGAGTCCCTAGACTCAAGGATGGGGGACAAGGTATGAAGAGTCTCAGAACACCATAATCCAGGGAACATGGGAGTGGGGATCGGGGCCACTGGAACACCCTCCAGGTCCCTGTGTGGGTTCCATAGGCACTTCCGCAGCCAAGGGAAGCTGCGAGGAGGAGCAGGCCCGAGAGGAACGGGAGCCACAGGGGGTTGATGGGCTCAGGCCTCCCTGTACCCTTCCCTGGTCCTGGGGCCAGGTGACCTCAGGCTGACTGTCTAACCTCCGGGCCTCAGTCCTCAGAGCTGCCTCGGACCAGCTCTGCGCCCTCGGACCAGGACTCCGCTCCCTGCGCCTCCCCGGCGTCCTCACCCCTTCCCGTCTGTTCTCTCCGAGCACTTCCTGGAGAACTTTTGAAACCCCAACACGCACCGCGTCCCTCTCCGTTCACAGCCCTCCCGGCTGAAGCCCCTCGGACTGAAGGAGCAGCTCCTCCCCTGCCAGTCCAGGCGGGACCACTTCTCACACCGTTCCCTGCGGACACAACGCGGACCCAGGACCCCCGCCCGCAGCCACAGGCCCCACGAGCGCCTCCCCGGCCCGGCCCCGGGGCCTGGGCTGCAGGCCCGGGAGCAGCGCCCGCCCGAGGGCTGGAGCTCGGGCTGCGCTGCGGGCGGGGCGGGCCGGAGCCGAGCGCTCACCTGAGCCGGCTCCCTCCGCGCGGCCGCCGCCATCGGCCTCGGGGGCGGAGCGGGGCCGGGAGCGGCGGGAGACGAGGCGCCGGGCGCGGCGCTCCCTGGCCCGGGCCTGGCGCGGGGCCCCGGGCGGCGTCGCCGAGCCTCAGAGCCGCCTGGGCCGCGGGGACGGCGCCACCTCCCGCGCCTCCTCGCCCGTCCCCACAGCACCAAGCCGGCGCCCCAGAACCGGAACACAACGTTAACTACCAAAATGACCGCCTTGAGGAGGAAGTCGGAAGTCCCGCCCCCACCCTCGTGTCACTAGGAAACGTCTTTTCTTCTGAGCCTTCATTGGCTCAAGAAGCCGTCTGTCGTCGCAGAGCATCTGGGTAATGTAGTTCCCACGTTCCAAACTGGCGATGAGAAGGTTCCCCAAGAGGGCTCCAGGAGGAAGGGGCCAGAGCCACAGCTAGGGGCCTTGGGAAGTGAGGATTCTCTTTCCAGGGCAGAGGAGGGGCTCACCCCTTCTTAAAGGGGCCGTATGCGCATTTCTGGGGACTGCTGTTCTGTAACTGATCACCCAGGCATTCTGGCCGTGAATTAGGATGAACAATCTTTCCCAAGATTCCATGGGCAGCAATGCAGATTTGTCCAAAACTCACGCGCCATTTTCTGCTCTCAGAGGCACACAAAGTTTGGGACTCCACAAAAGTCGCCATGCCTGCAGAGCCCAAATCTGTTTATAAACCACCCCACGCAGTGAACAGAACCCCTAAGAAAAACAGGACTTAGTAAAAACTTTCTTATCCTACCACCTAGATCAGCGTGTGGTAGGTAGTTCTCGGGTTGGTGACTTGGGAGGTGGGAAAGCTCATCACAAGTATCACACGAGACCAACATGTCCCTGAAAAGGTAGTCCTTCTTGGCAAGGGGACAGTACAACTCATTAGGTATCCTCTAGGTCAGAACTGAGGGATGTCCATGCCCTAGTTAGTCAGAGGGAAGGGAATGCGGACCCCCTAAGAGCTCAGGCTACTCCTAATTTGCTCCAATACCTGCGAGAACAGAGGTTGGCTTCCCTGAGCACATTGGGGTGGTGACTGATGCACACTGTGTGGACCTGCCTGGTGGGAGGGGTGCAACAGCTTCAACAACAGAAACTGGTAATGACATAAATCTGGGAAGGGCCCTGGGCAGGGCAGAAAGTGCAACACAGCCACACATGCTTCTCACATAAATTAGACTTATGGGAATCTCCCCTGGATGTGTGGAAGTTTGATGCATGAGATTCAAAGACTGATGGCTAGTCATAGAGGCTTTGCTCCACTTTGGTTATATTGAAGAAAGTAATTGCACATTCCCTATACAACTAAGATCTTTCTCCAGTGTGATGTGTCCAACAATATTTCAGGATGAAGCTATAGCTAAAAGACTTCCCACTGTGGAAATTAATAAAAGAAACCTTAACAAAATTGGAGCCAGGAAGTCCCGTAGGGGGAGATCTCAGACTCTATCACCCATGGTCCATTACACCAAGCTGGAAGAGACACGCTCTTGCATCTTTGACTGGAAGTAAAACTACTTTACTGCTGAAGGAAGATTCTCTTCACACCCAGAAACAGCCCAGCCAATGAGAAATAATGCAGCTCAGTGAAGCCCTTGCTGCTCTGAACTATGACTTTCTTCCCATGCACTATCCTTTAGACCTGCCCCTCCCTACGCCCCCTTTTTCTCAATAACAGGAGCTCCCTTTCTTTGTTTTCTGGATTTACCTCTGGTTTGCCACAGCATGCACACCCCAAATTGCAATTCTTTTGGCTATTCCTGAATTAACTCATTTTGAGGGTAAGATAATAGGTGAATTTGCTTTTTAAGTTGGTAAGAAATTGCACATTCTCTACACAACCAAGGTCTTTCTCCAGTGTGAAGTCTCCAATGATCATTGAGGGTGGAGCTACAGCTAAAAGATTTCCCATATTCACTACACTCATAAGACCTTTCTCCAGTTTGGACATCCTGATCCTGAAAAAGTGTATGTTTGCAGCTGATGGCTTTCTGGCATGCTCCTGGTTGCAATACCAGTTTCTTCCAACTGCATATTCAGTGGTTTTGTTTGACTTTTCCCCAGTATGAGTGGCCTGCTTATGAAGATAGCTCGAGGTGGCGAGGAAGTCCTTCCCAGCCTCCACACAGGTAAAGGGCTTCCTGGACACAGGGAATTTGCAGCTCTTCACAAATGAGGCCTTGTCCATGTTGCTTCTGAAGTTTTTCACCAATGTGCTGCTCCTGGTGACACTGAAGGTTCGCACTGAAATAAAATTGTTTGGTACATGCCACTCTCGTACGTACTTTCTGCCCATGATATTTTCCTTAGTGCTCAGCCAAGTGTAAAATGTGATTAGATGGGGACACACGTCTCAGAGGGATGGATGTTTGGATGAAGGGACCTGCCTTGGGAGTCCTGACCTTTTACAGAAACATAGTTCAGAAGGTACCTCTTTGTTCTCTGCTCTGCGCCTACAACCTGAAAGCAAAGAAGTGACAGTGAAGTACGTGTTGATGTTGTTGGGAGGAATGAGTCTACACTGATTCATTGAATTACATCCAACTGAATTATTCCATTGAATTACATCAAAGAATGAGTCTATAGGATGTTTTTCCAGAACTGTGAGTGGGGGTCTGGTTGTGCATTACTGGGCCCTTAAGGTCACAAAATGGTAGAGTCCTCACCACAGGAAAGGCACAAGGACAGGGTGTGGCACAGGGAGACAAGACAGATCTGTAACTCCCTCCTCCACCAAAGGCTTTCAAAGGAACTTGTGTGCTGGTGACATGTAAGGCTGTGCAGAGTCCTGTCAAAGCCCAGGAAAACTCAATTGCAACAAAATAGGAGGAGTTCAAGGTCAATGTAAGGATCTGTTCACACCTCACGGCACAACATCTGTGGGCCAGTGTTGGAGAGCACTGCAGAAGGAGTGGTGAGAGAAATGGGTCCAGAGAGGTGGATTATCCCTGGGATGAAGTCACACAGGAAATGACGAGTAGTAGAATTGACAAGTTGGCAAAGTGTCAATATGGGGAAGGAAAGGTAGAAAGCGGGTGTGGCCACTGGCAGTGGCGCCAAAACTCTGGTTGAACAGGACAGGCTCCTGCTATGATGTGAACATGAGCCTGATGGCACACCCTCCCCAGCTACCACTCACCAGGGCCAGGGCCCTTCTGAGCTGACCCTGCCATGGCTGGAGTCATGTCCATACTGAGAAGCACAGAGGACTCTTCCCCCTAGGCTCTTGTTGGGCAACTATTTAGAATGTGGAGGATATAAGTATTGAAGGAAAAACCAAACAGGTGAGTGGCCAACACTGGCCCAGAGCAGCTCAGCACACAATAGATCACAGGAAAGAGGTCTAAACGCTACAAAGAGAACTACACAGGAGGTCTTGAAGAACAGCTCATGGTCCAGGGAAGTAATGACCATGAGAATGTGGGTAATTTCTGGCACAAACCAGCACAAGGAAATGTCAGCTAAAAGAAGGGACAAACCTAGGGTACAGAGGTGCCATGGATCTGGACACAGTCACTGGCCAGGGAGAGGCAAGCAAGCTAGGCTCCATTAGGCTCACTGTAAACTTCTGATCCAGAATCTTTCCCTGTGGGGCTTCAGGGCAGCTGAGGTTGGGCTGCAGGGGAGGGGAGAGGTCAGTGCAAGCAACTCAGCCCTATCAACCCCAGCACCTGCCCAGGGAAATGGGGAAGGAAGTGGTGCCCAGGGTCCTGATGTGAGAAGGACAGAGCACCCCCCAGGGAAAGCAGGGCAGGGAGAGGGGAGATGCAAAGAGTAGACCAGGTCACTGGGGAGGGTGTGAATGCCTTGCCCCATGAGGATACAGGGATATAGGTGACAAATTCTTCAGAACCACCTCGTGGTACAGGGGTCTCTGAACCTCATCAAGGTACCCCACTCCTCCCAGAAATGCACAAGCGTGTCCTCATATGTCATAGCACCTGACATGATCGGGACAGATGAGATGAGGATCAGCATCTCTGAGGACCCACGTCCATATTCACCTTCCTCTAGAGCTCAGCATCTCAGAGGAGATGCCAGTCGTTGGTGCCACTGATGCCCACGCTCTCCTCATGGTCCCATGAACATGCTGCTCAGTCCTCAGCAACAAGAGGCAGGGGGGCAGATAGCTAGGGAGGAGATGGCTGATTAATGTCCAAAAGAACCATTTTACAGAAAAAAGACTACAGGCTGGTTATATAGGGGGCTGGTCTCTGCACTGGGGAGGCATCTGGTCTTAGTTCCTGATAGTCTTTTGTTTTATAGGATATGCATCAGAGACCAGAGCAACACCCTATACCCTGATCTTTCAGTTGTCATTGATGATGACTATCAGCATAGACTCTCTGCCCAGGGGTCATCACATCCCTAAGGAACTCAAAGGGACAAAGTTATCAATTTATAGTAGCTGGGAGGGGCCATAAAATCTAAAGAGCATGATTCAGTTAGTTAATCAGTGATCATTCAAAGTTACAATATTGTTTCTTTTTTACAATATGGCTTCCTTGATGTCAACTTTGTGTTGAATAGGTATCATTTCCTCCCTTTTGTTGTTCATTCCTCAATCTTGAGGGACATCCTGTTGACGAGGGCCATAGTTTGTTCCATCTCATTGAACCAGTCTCTTAGTAAGATGGTGATGCAGGTGGGCTCCCAAAGTTAGGACTATATTGTGTAAGCAAGTAAACCACATATTTAACAAGACAGAAAGAAAAGCAACGTTAATGGTGGGAGCAAATTAAAAACCTGTTTCTGAGCCCGGGGGCAGCCAGTCAAAAAGATTTCTAGGTGTCAGAGTTGAAGCATCTTTTGCAGTTTGAAATGTCTCTGATGGTGTCATTAGGCATTCAGGTATCTTTCTGAGTGGCTTACACAGCAACAGACATGAATCTCTCTTCAGTTTATATCAAGTCCTCCAGCTTCAGTATGCAAGGCTTCAGGAAAAGGGCAGGTTCATTTCTCAATGATTCCAAATGAAAATCATGAACAAAATTGAAAACACTAGTTTGAAAATTGGTAGCCAGATATTTCAGGAGACTAGAAGAATTCAGGATCCAGTCCAGTTAAAAGATATAACAAAAACTTCAAAGATAACAGAACTAGAATCTAATATCCATGAATGTGTACTATACTTTCTACTGAAACATAATTTTTCTCTCTAAAATCACTCTCATTTTTTATAAAAGATAGCCAAATTAAGACTAACAGGTTTGCAGAATA